GGGGTGCAGGGGTCCCCCCTCCAGGTGGGCAGGAGTGCATTGCCCTCCCTGGGGAAGGCAAGTCTTGTCCCTGCTTGCTTCTCTCCTGCAGGGCTCAGGCTGCTGGAGGCCTGGGGGGAGGCACGGTGGGGGCTGCCTGGGAAGGCTGAGGGCACAGCCTGTCCCTGCCCTCACTGCAAGCTGGAGCCCAGCCCCGCCACGGCCCCTCGCCCCATTGCCGCACATACGGGTGGCCTTGGCTCCAACACACAACCTAGGGTTTTATTGTGCAGACAGAGGAACACTCCTGGAAGATACGGGGTTTTTGTTGTTGCTTTTCATAGGGTTCTTTTTTTTTTTTTCCCCCTTAACAGAATTTCTTTTACGACAAGCTGTGGAAACAACTACAAATGTTCACAAAAAAATGAGAGTCGAGACGCATCCGTGCTCTGCTGGCTGGGCTCTGCGCCTGCCCTGGCGCTCACCAGCAAGCCCAGGGAGCTGGGTACAGCCAGACCTCAGCTATACATGGCCTCAGCAGCACTAGACAGCAAGCAAGCAGGCAGGGATGGGCAGGGAACGGGCATGGGGGTAGGAGGCAGGTCGCGGTGTTTGGAGAAGAGCAAGGGGTGGGCAGCAGCTGCTGTGAATTCCTCTCAGCGGTGGTGGCACAGCCCAGGCTGCAGGGGTAGCTCAGCGGGGCTGGGGTTCACCCCATGGACCCAGATGCTCCTGCCTCCATCTTCCCCTGCCTCTGTGCCCTCCCCTGGGCCAGGGTGCAGCAGGGCTGGCCCTCTGGTCTCTCTCCCCATAGCCGGCTGGGCTGCTCCTCGCTCGAGAGCTGCCAGATTTTGGGGAGGCCGGGGCAGCAGCCCACCGGCTCCTCAGGATCCCTTGGGGCATCCAGGCAGGCCTGGGCTGGCAGATGTGGGCTGTGCTTTGCTTCCTTCTCCCTGCTCTCGCCGACCCCTGGGAAGGTCCTGGCCTTACTGAGGTGGTGGCCAAGAGCTGGGCTTCCCTTAGGCCCTTTCCTGCTCTTAAATGGAGACAGGGAATTGCTGAAAGGGAGGAGAGAGAAGGGAGGGGGCACATGGGCTCCTCCCAGTGGTGTGGTGGGACTGGAGGAAGACTGTGCTGGAGGAAGGCTGCTGAGCCTATCTGGGGCCAGGCACAAGGACGTGTGCCATGTGGAAGGATCGGGGCCCCTAGGCGTCCCCGCGGTGGTGATGGTGCAGAGGAGACCCTGTGGAGACCTCGGGGTCACGCTCCCATAGGGGAGCTCCCTCCCCACCAGCCTGCTGGGGGATCCAGCTGCGGGGGCCTCGGGGAGGGCGAAGGCAGAGCTGTGGCTAGCTCAGAGAGGCTCTGCTTGCCTCCACTGCGAGCAGGTGCTGGCAGCAATTCTCTCGTCACAGCTAAGGGCTGGTCCCTGGGGAGAGCAAGTGGTGTCTGGGGCTCAGGCAGCCCAAAGGTACAGGATGATGTCTGGAGGAGGCCTCACTTCCAGCTCAGCTGTAAAAAACAGATCAGGAAAAAATTGTTGCCAAAGCACGTTTGCAGTGAGCCCCCTCCCAGAGCCCCAAAAGAGCCCTAAGGAGGCAGGGACATTCGATGGGTGTCTCCTAGAGCTGCTACCCTCTTTTCCCCTAGCCTGGCCAGCTGAGCATCTTTCCATGCCTCCCCTGCTCCCTCCATCTCTTCCCTGCTTGCTCTGAGATAGGACATGCCTTGTGCCCCCTCCCAGTCGTGGCAGCTTGGGGTGACTCAGGCGAGAGGAGCAGGCTGAGAAATCAGTAAGTCACCTGGCTGGTGGGCAGGGCGGACCCCGGCAGCCCCGTCTCCCCGGCACGGGGACCCCTTTGCACACTCTTGCATCATCTGTCTCTCTTACCTGCCAATCCAGCTGTCTCGCCCCAGTTGAGAACAGGCAAACCCCAAAAGTTAAAGGGACGGCATAAGCGGGCTGTGCAGGGCTGAGGCTCCAGTGCTCCCAGCATAAGCAAACCAGCCAGCCTACCGAGCGGGGAGGCGCGATGGGAGAAGCAACGCTGCCTAGCAGAGCCACCATGCTTCGGAGCAGGGCGTGTGTGCGTGTGATGGTGGGTCTTGGCACAGGACGGTGGTTAGCGTTAGATACACGGCTATATAGAGGTAACACAGAGAGAGGTTTCACTTGTTCCAAATGGTTCAGCTTCTCTTTCCAAGGGCTGCGTTCTGGCGGGGGAGGCGGGTTTGCTGGGGTACTCGGTGTGTGCGTGTGTGCGTGTGTGCGTGCGTGTGTGTGTGTGTGCTTTTCCTTTCACAGGGACACGAAGTCCACGGCTTGCAGGAGAGGCAGGGAAAGGAGAAGCAGCAGGAGCCACGAAGTGTTCTGGATCAAGAGGCTGAAGCCGGCGCATTTCTCCAGTTTGTCTGTGAGGAGAGGGAATGGGGAAGGAGAGAAGAGCTGCAGTGAAATCCCTCGGGAACAGGCATCAGGCTGGGTGTTATAAGGGTACTGGCTTCTTGCCTTTTCTCTGCCACAGAAATGCAGCAAGTCCCATCCTGGCTTCTTGCCTGTTCCCCCTCCCATCTTGTGCCCACGTAGCAGGCAAAGCTTTTGGGGACACAGAGACCCTGGGAAGCATAATCCTGCCTGCGCCTGACTGAGGTGACAAGGGGACGGGCATCAGGTAAGATAAAGGGCTCTGCAACCAGGGACTGCTCCTGATGGACCTAAGTGTGGAAAATCCCTGCTGCGCTCCCCCTTCGGGCCATGTATTTCTTCAGTCCTTCACCAGCAGACTTGTCCCCTCTGCTGGGACTGACTATGAGGCATCACCTATGGAAGGACACCTGGGCAATGTGCCCGAGGCGAGGCCCAAGAGAGGCAGTGCTGAGCAGTCTGAGATGGGGCAGAGTGAGGCCACCTGTGGGGCTGACTGCTCTGCTTGCAGTAGGAAGGGCACGTAAGGGCTGGGAAACATTTATGGGGCTCAGGGAGGGTTTGGAGATGCCATAGGGTTTTCTCTGCTGGCCCTGCCAAGCCAAGGAGCAGGTGGGAAGGAGGAACTAAGGCCAGGCTCCGCTGCCCATCTCACCTTTGATGACAGTGATGTTCTTTATCTGATTGCCAGTGTAGTCATTGGTGGCCTTCAGCTCGCACATGTAGACACCCTCATCGCTGGTGGTGAAGCTCTGCAGGTAGAGGCACACCAGGTTCTTGTGCATGGTGACGTTGGCTCGGCTCCGGTAGACGTTCTCGGAGACACTAATGGTGCTGTGGATGACGTGCTTCCTGTTGTCCTTGGTGATGCTGAACTCGTAGGTCAGGGGGTTGCTGGTTTTGTTCTCATAACGGCAGTCCACCCGGAGGCTCTGGCCCAGCAGGCAGGCACTCAGGTCCTTGATCATCTGGCAGTGGGCAGCCTGGAGGACTGGGAGAGGCAAACAGGGGTTGGACAGGGAACAGTGAGCACTGGGGATGCCCACGCAGCCTCCTGGCCCTCGCCTGGCTGCTCTGGGCTGAGCTCGCTGGAGAGCAGGGAGGGGATGCCGGCTGTACCTGTCAAGATGACAGCGATGCCAATGGTGGGGTTCATCTCTCCGCTGAGGTGCCTGGAGGTGGCTGTCACTGAAAGGGGAGCCT